ATATATCAAATAATGAAGAAATACAAAGATTTGCGCAAGCGGATATTTGTATTCAAATAGATCAACACATTTTTCCACGTCATAAAGCCTTCCTTACCTATCATTCAATTTATAATTATAAAAATTCTAATACATTTATCGTTATGATCTCAACAAAAAGAGTTAATCAATCAAATCTTCGATAAATGATTTGATAGCCTTTTTTTTAAGCATCAAGTTCCAATTGTTCTAAAACTTTATCAATTCTTTCAAGAATTTGATTATATTCAACTTCCCACGTAAAACTCTCTTCGCTAACCCTTCCATTTTTATCTAGATTATCTTCAAGCACTCCATATTTTTTTGATAACCTACAGTATATGCAGTATCATGGAAAAAATCAAATCAACTTATGTGTTATATTAACAATTACGTTCGTTATAATTATGATGATACGTACCAAAACCGAATATCATCTATGAATGGCAAAGAATCCGTTTCTTCTCGTTTAAAAATACTGTATTAATAATAAGGTTTCATTTATTTTAATATCTTTGCATTTCGATGTATAAATTAATTGATGTCACTAACCTGTGTGCTGATTCTTGGATCATTTCTAAAAATCGTTGATCTTCCAAAACTTCTTCAATGTGTTCTGCAAACCATCGCGAACACCATTGTTCTAATCTATAAACATTTAAATCAATTGCGGCGCTCATCAGCGTATAAATATCTTCAAGTGGTTCTGACTGATTAGTCAACACTATCGATGCAAGTGATTTCAACTTATCAAGTAAAAATTTGTCTGCTTCTATAAGGACTTTATATGAAAGGTTAGGTGGAATATCACATTTATCGGTATAAATAAATTCCAATATTAATGCAAATATTTCTGGTGTGCAATAATCTGATATTGTTATTTTGGGTATACGGCGATTATCATAATAAATTGTATCCATCTGTTGGCTTTCGGCAAATGGTCCGGTTATCATAACATTGAAATATTCTGAACGTTTGGTAAGGAAGGCTTTATGACATGGAAAAATGTGTTGATCTATTTGAATACAAATATCCGCTTGCGCAAATCTTTGTATTTCTTCATTATTTGATATAT